TCCCTTAGTATAAAAAACAATTTTATTTACAGGAGGGAAAAATGAAACACACAAGTTGGAGTGATTACACAAATGCCATTATATGATATTTAATTCCTACTCACCTTTCATAAGAAAAACATAAGAAACAATGCTAAGTTAAAATATAGATGCTGTAATCAGGTTTCATAATACTAGGTAATATATATGAGTACATGTAATTTTATATACATTTAATTGAATTATTTTGAAAACATAGCATGTTGGTTCTTATTATGATTATATTTTTATAATATGAGTGACAAGTTCATAAAATATATTCTACCTATAATATTAATATACATATTATTTATAGCTTAACATACCTTATTACATATAGAATTATAATTGCATTATGTATGATAAATAATATTGAAACAGAAAACTTAGAATTTGACAATATTTTCTAAGTTTATTTTACGTATTTCTGAACTGAACAAATTTAAAATTACAAATAGAATTGTCTAATGCATTAAACACCAAAACTTTTTGCCACTATTTCAAAGTCTTTGCTTTTTACCAGATTATTCTCTACATATATATCCTTGATATTAGTGAGGATTAATAGCTAGTTTAGTGAAAAATATTACTAAAATTCAGTTATAAGTACATGCTCATGAGTATAGATGGAATGAGATTTATAATAAGCAAGAAAGTAATGTATTAACTAAAGTTAATAGAGTAAGACAATGGCATCTTACTGTTGACTAAACTTCTGCAAAGTACACTGTTATGGACAATAATTATATTATCTGAGTCAAAAAGGATACAGCATACCAAATTCACAGGCTCACATGGGTTTAGTAACTCAGTAACATTAACAGAAAAAGGGGAGTGGTTATTGTAATTGTATCATAAATGGTGGTGAGATAGAAAAATAAAAATGATGTCTATAGAAAATTAGATTTAAAAGGTTTTTATTTACATCCTTAGGGTCTTTGTAAGGCAGGTAAAATACTGTACTTCAATTCTGTGAGCAATGGGGACACACTAGCAAGTTACATGTAGATGAGTG